TCTCGAGTATCATATCCGTGGGTGTTCTGATACAGTTCAAGTATACACCCAGATTCTGTGAACTAAAGAATGGGGGAGCGTGGACGGAATTTGACCGTCAATGTCGACGATTGTTGAACTTCGGTGTCTCGAGTATCATATCCATGGCTATTCCCATACAGTTCAAGTATACACCCAGATTCTGTGAACTATAGAGTGGGGGAGCGTGGACGGAATTGGACCGTCAATGTCAGCGATTGCTGAACTTCGGTGTCTCGAATATCATATCCGTGGGTTTTCGGGTTCTTGGACAGTGGAAGAACGCGAAGCTAATTTTTGTCGGTCCGCCTTCGGCGGACAACGACCACCGTGGCGGCGCTTCAGTCACACTTCGCGAAGCGGACTTCGCATACCATGCGGGTTGCCTCTTCGAGGCTCGACGGGACTCGACCGAGGCTCGCAGTGAAGTAAGAAATTGTGAAACTCGACCGAGCTCGACCGAAAAACGAGTCGAGCTTCGAGGCTCGGCCGAGCCGAGCCTCGACTTTGAGCTATGATCAAGACTCTTGATTCAAGAGTGTTTCCTTGGATAAATGGAATCAAATCTAAGCGAACCTTTCGATATTCGAACACTGCAAGTTTGAACCGTTAAAATTGAACGGTACAAGAACGGTCTGTGAACGTTATGCTCACATTCTGTGAACATAACGTTCATTCACAGATGCGTACCTGACAGCTAAAGTCTTCCAATGGAAGACTTCCATAGACCTGGTTGAACCTAGTTGACATCAGTCACAGTTAGTACCTATTGAGTCAATGGTATTGACCACCTTCCGGCATGTCGAGTCCGGCGAGTCGAGTCGAGGCTCGTCTGATTTTCGACGAGTCGAACTCGGTCGAGCCCGGTGGCGGAGAAATGTCGAGTCGAGTCGAGCCCTACAGCTCGACTCGTCCGACTTTGAGCCATGTTCTAGATAGTGGAGGGACCAGTTCAACACCTTCCAGAGCCGTAAGTTCTACTCCTGATGTTACACCATCCACACCAGGGGGGCGTATAAATCCTACTCTGAGATTCGGTGTCTCTGTTCGTAGTGATGTTCATCTACGACAAGGTTGGTTGGTGATCTCTACGGCTCCTACCTATCAAGGGCTTGCTTCTGTTGTTGAAGACGCTAACGACTCTGACACGGTTGTCATACGTCCTCTCCGTCTTCAACCTGGTGGTGTTGGCGAGTTGTCTACCATGGACGACGATGTCATTCACGAGGTTCAAAGGAACGAACTAATCTTCGTGACTTCCTCCTCAAGACCCCTTACACGATCATTACTTGAGAAGGTCACCAATCTGCTCACCCATATAGGGTCTAATTAATAGAGTCTATCCATGTCTACATGCTTATCGGTTTCACTCAGTTATAGTGATCATAACCATCTCGTCTATATATAAATCCGTCTTGTATGCGGTAGAGCATGTATTCACGACTCTATTTTCTAATTAAGTATCTATGATGATTAAGTATCTATGATGATTATGTATCTATGATGATTAAGTATCTATTTTATTTGATTTAGCATATTAGATTATGCTTCTAGATATTGCTATTCGAACAACCTTCTAGTCTATCTTGTTAGTTAATTAAGATATTCTAATGTGTTAAATGAATCTACTAGAAGTATCTAGTATTCATTTGCGGGGTATGTGCTGTCCCATCGTGGCAGCGCGACAAAGATCTCGCTCGCCTCGTATTCTATTGTTGAACTATAATATTATTATTCTCGCTCGGATGCATCTATCTAACGGTTTTGGATACTAGAAACGGTTAGATCCGTCTCTGGTTTTCTAGAAGCTACTTAAGCTAGGAAAGCTAGTATTCTAGTTGGTAATTGTTAGACTGGACTGAGTCCAGTGACTGATTGTGTGATCTGCTACCTCATCCTAACTCTAGTTCTACTTGAGTTAACCAGTCCTCACTAGTATCGCATCGTAATCTCTATTGCCTCACCTGATCGTGTTACAAGCTACACGGGATGTTACTTAGATCTGGAATGAAATTGCCTAACCGTGATCGCTGTGCATTTCCTCATGATTCAACAGGTTTGACTCCCTCTACACCTCCGTCTAACGACGCGACTGAACCACCAAGAAGTACATCTACTTCAAGAACACTACTGATTTCTTCTAGTTCTACTCTAAGTCGTCCCGTACAGCCGAGCGCGGTGCATTATGGTCTCCACTGACCATCAAGCGCAAGTGACCAGTTTGCTCATCCTCAGTCTGATCAACTCGGGTACGACCGTTGCCAAGTTCTATAATCGCCGTTCAGTGTGCATCGCCAACCCCAAACTACAGGACATCGACAGCACAGCTTTGGTACCCTCATCCCCATCTTGAAATCCACACCGAGGGTCCGAAGCGTGCTGTCTTTGCGTGAAAGCAAAATCGATCGTTGAGGCAATCGAGAAAATAACCGTTATTAGTCAACTGCGTGCTCTTTAGAATTCACCCGCGAGCGTATTATCGACAACTTATCGAAATCGAGATTATTCGTTATTTCGACAGTGTCGAATCGACGCCTAATTTTCGGTATTAAGCTCGTTTATCGCCTTCGACAATGATTGTCGTAATTAAGTTGTCCAAATCTACACATAGTAAATTGTAGCGTACTTTCGCCAACGTTGTCGAGAGAATGAGTATATTCGACAATTCTTTAGTGTCTAAATTTCGACAGTATTTGTCGAAAGTCGCATATGTCGTCGCAGAGCGGCCGTTTTGACGACTTGTCGTTATTATTAGGTGAAGTCGTTTTCGACAGTTTGTCGAGGTTGTCGAAAGCGGACGCTCCGCTAACTTTATAGAGGGAGATACTTCCAGTATACACGTAGACCATGCTAACCGTTTACCAACGTTTACTATCCAAAAACCTCTGATTTTGAATCAAACTTCTCCACCTCATGCCGGAACCGGCACAAGAGCTCGGGTGTTTTTCGTAAAACTTTGTTTCAAAGTCTGCGGCGTTCTGAAACTGAGGGTTCCAGTTTTGAAGCTGTAGAAATACGTAGTCGCAACGTCGGACGTTGCGACGCGTTGAGCAGGACGTTGAATGTCCTGCTTAACGCGTGACACGGCTGATCCAAGCAGTAATTGTTAAACCAGGCGAGCCCTGTAAGATTAGTTAGACCCTGCTATTTCAAGATCGCCGTAGCGCATGGGGGATATACCACTACGGCGGGGGCGATCAGGTCTTTCGAGTCGCGGCATTTGAGAAAACCGGCGGCCATACTGATTACAGTCATACAGGTTATAGGCCCATTTACGTTGAACGCAAGGCTGAACATATCTTCTACGAGGTACCAACAGTAATGTTTCAGGGCACCAGCTCTGTCCCATGATTACAGATCCGAGATCTGCCTGATGATCAGCATCGCGAGTCATACTAGGCGGCAAGAATCTCATCAAGATCCCATTTCAAGAACTTACACACGGCAGTGCCGTGTGTAATGATCGTGCCGTGACGGCACGATCATTATGTTCGAAGTGATACCTCCACCGACACAATATTATTATGATCTGGCGAAGGTCATATTAAACGACCCTCTTGATAGGAACGCCAACACAAAGATCATGTATGCTGATCCAAATGTGTAGTGGTACGACTCCGATAAGGATTTAGAGAGCGCCGATAGACACTAGTTAAACATGGGATTTCCATTAGCAGAGCTTTTGAGTAGCGAGCGTAGGAGAAGCAATGTAGGAACCTCGTTGCAGAACAATCCTGGCAGTTCTCCGAAAAGTACCACAGGACACATCAATTTATGAGGCTATAGGAACAAATACAACGCTAATACTTCTGTATAATGTTGTATTTGAATTCCTGGGCCCGGAGCAACTGCTGAGGAGGCGAACCAGCTAAGTAACTAAGCTTACTGGCCCAGCCTAGTCAATACCTCAACCGCGTCCCAGCAAAAACCATATCA